GCCGCCCGGCAGCCCCCGCGGCGCCCCGCCGAGCTGCAGATGGTGGCGGGCAGGCTGCTGACCGTGCTGGGCTCGGTGGCGGCGCTGACCCTGCTGCAGAGCACCCTCAAGCTCCGCCGAAGCCTCCTGGTCTTGGTCTTCTCCAGCCTGGTCTGGCTGGTCTCGCTCACTAGCCTCAGCTCGCTGCCCCCAACCCTCAGACCGCTGCTGGCCGGCTCGGTCGGGATGGCCGGCTGCCTCCTGGCACTGCTGGCTTGGCAGCGCGGCATCTTCACTGCTCAGAGCCGTGGAGAGCAGCCCCAGCATCACCACGCGCGGCTCCCCTGCGTGGAGGAGAAAGTGCCTGTGATCAGACCCAGGAGGAGGTCTAGCTGTGTGTCCTTAGGAGAAACGCCAGCCAGCTACTACGGTAGTGGCAAAATGTCCAGGAGACCTTCGTTGCCTTGTATCTCCAGAGAACAGGTAGGTCTCCCAGAACTGAGCGGGGCGGGGGAATGTAGCGCTGGTGGGGAAGGGGGAGAGGAAAGCAAGCTTAAAAACTTTCAGAGAGGAACCAGTGCAAGTGTCTAACTTTGTGTAAGTGCGCGCGCTCCCATTAGATACTGGCACGTGTTTGCAGGAGGGCAGTGTCAAGATTTCCTTAGCGGTAATAAGTGGAGAAATAAGGCGTTGGGCGCATATTGGTTCATCTCTGCGTTTGTGGGAGATCATTCTTCTGTGCATCCCTTAACATTGAATTTGTAATTCGACTCAGTTATTCCCTGCAGCGTACAAGGGCTTGCACATTGTGTATGTGTATGAGGTTGGCAGACCTTACTTGTGTAAAGATAACCTTAAGCACGACCCTTTTAGGTATCAGATGACATTATTATGAGTATAATTAATAATAGTTTTGACTGGCATTTTAAAGCACTAAGCCGCTGTTTCGCCTTCTGAGAGACTACGAACGAAACTTTCCAGTTGCACAGCAGTTTGTTTCTTTCCACCTTCTTTGAGCTGGTGTGACTTCAAGTACCGGGGAAAAATCAGACTTTTGAAGATATTACTTCCAACTAGTTGACATTTTTCTGTACATGGTGAATGTCTCTCTTTCTACTAAGTTAATGTAGTTGCTTCTCAACTAAATTAGGAACCAAGGTTAGAGAACTGTTGAATCAAGTCTGGAAGGATGCATAAAACGTTCAGGTGTTTTTCTTTAAGGCAAGTCTTGCTCTTTTCTACTTTGGGCAAAACTCTGTGCAGTGTAAATCTTTACTGCAAGCTCCGTGTGGGAGTTGAGTCTGTTTGTATCTTGGAAATTACACGTGAACTCTAGGAACACTGGGTTATGCTGCTGATGGAATTGGCCCGGGGCTGCTTGAAGTGGAAAATCATCCCGTCAAAGAACGAAGAATACAAGTTTTTTTTTAAATAAACCCATAAACGAAGCCTGGCTTATAAGACAAGAAAACATTGTTACAGAAAATTCCGTCTATTGCTGCATCTGAGATTCAGAGGCTCCAAATAAACTAAGCTTGTCTAGTTTTGCATTCGTGTGTATTTCCTAATGCATCTGGTGCAATTGTTTCCCAGAGCTCCCTCCCCTACTGTAATTTATTAGGTGAGTCTGAAGCCAAGCAGGGAAAGATGAGCCAAGCTGAGAGAAATCCTTGACTTGGACATTTACATTGCAGAGGAATACATCATTAGTCGGTTTAGAAATATGTTCACATTTTGAGGTTCTTTATCAATGTAATAGGTTCATTTAAAGTTCAAATTAAATGTTTTAGAAACAGTTTTATGTAGGCAGTTTTAAGCTGTAAATTGGTAATATTCATAATGTGAATGAGGATTTCATACCTGTGTCATACCTTTCAAATATATAAGGAATATAATGTAGTTTTCTTGTTCGACCCTCTTTTTTGTTCTAGTTAAATAGTAAATGTAGTACTTGACTTCAGTTGAGTAGCTTCTGTGTCCACAGGAATATCTGCAGTATAGGAAGCATACAATATGCTAATAAGTTTTTGAATTTTTTTTATAGATGGCAAAGTATATTAGTTTTAATGTAGTTTGGCAAATACTGCCTTAGGTATTCAGCTGACTTTCTAGAAGTTTCTGTAAACTTTGAGCCAAACTAGATATGTAGTGTTTGAAAACCATGATAAATATCAACCTTAGTAAAATACACTGAATGTTTAACAAATGTTGAAGTCATGGGTGTTGGTAAACAGTATAATTGCTCATAGGTATTCAGATTTTGATGTTTTCCATTTCCAGAAAAGTAAATAAGAGCAGTATATTGTAGCCCTTTACTTTCCTATATTTTTAAGGAGTAGATTATGCTTTATGGTAAATCTTTTTCATTAAGTAAATAGTTATTAACAGATATCTTTCATACATTTGGAGTACTTTGATTTAGAAATACTATACAGGTGGAAGTGTATTTTTATCAATGCTGGAGTAAAGACAAAGCAGTGAAATTTCTTACTTTGCATTTGACTCAGAGAAGATGGTCCTTGCAAAGTTAATAAAATGTCAAATGCATTCACTTTAAAAAAAAAAAATCAATACTTTGAGATTTTATCTGAAATTTAAAAAACACTGTATGCTTATTTGAATGTTTTTGCAACAGAGCCATTATTGAAACAGAAGTAAAAAATTGAATTAAAATGTAAACTTATTTTTGGAATATCATTGTCTCTTAAAGAATTGTGTTTATTAATAAAAATCAATAATATACATTTTTGCAATATTAACATTTTCAAGTAGTTAATTTACATTAATACGTATGAGTAGTGTTTAAAAAGTTCAGAGGAATACAAAGAATGTAGTATAAACCCACAATGGTATGAATGTGCTTTAGTAGTCTTGAGAGGGCTAAGTTACTATGGTGATGTGTTTTGTAAGAATATTAATGTAATATACTGAAATTATATACGTTTCAGGAAAGTAAAGGAAAGTAAAACTGCAAAGAGTTGACAGAGTCTGGAAAAAATAGTGAATAGTTGTCTGACAACTTGTGTTCTAATTAATTGGTAAAATCCTACGAGAAAATAATTGTATTGAGTTCATATTCTGTTTCTCTTTCCAGTAGTAGGCAAATCTAAAACTAGGGAAGAGGTCTGTGTACGTTGCGGGATGGAGAAACAGCTTCTTGTGTATGTTCTTCTCCAACAGAGATCATTTTGAGAGTCTCTGGCTGCACTGGAAGCTGGAACAGGCCCTATGAATCTGATTCTGTAAATTCTTGCTAACTTGAGTAACCCATGTAGTAAATGTCTGCAGGATCAGGGTCTATTTTGTTCAAGTATGGGAACTAAACTGCTAAAATGCGCTTTAAAATTGCATATGCTTTTGCCATTTGACAATGAATATCCATGCTGTCTCTAGATATCCTATTCTACAGCTTTTTGTCTCCTGCATCTATTGTAAACTCCGCTAACAATTCAATTCTGAAAAGCTGACAACTCATGTACTTGTTTTCCTAATTTAAAATACGCTATACTGAAAAGGTTTATTTTTAGAAAACACAAAACTTAAACTTGGTTATAAAAATAAATTCAAATCTGCAAAAGGGTAGCTACATGGTTAATTTTAAGTCTAAGTTTCAAATAAGCACAGCTTTTTCAAACATTTCAAGCTCTGAACATGTTAGTTTTTCTAACCTTCATTGAAATAAATTAAACATTTAAAAATGTGCACTTCATGTAACTACTTCTGTGTTCATCTTGAAACCAGCATTACATTCATTATTTCTTGTTTAGTGTGATAAAAAATATTTACAGAACAAGCAATCAAAACAGTTCCTGCCCTCGTGATATTAATCTGGTAGTGTAGTTCTACTCTCACTGAAGTCAAAGGGAGTTTTATCTTGTCCTTTATGGGAGTAATATCAGTCCCAAAGAAGGGCTGATCTTACAATTCTTTACAGGACCACTCTCATGAATGTTAAAGGGACTGGTTGCCTGAATATAGTATTAATATATTCCAGCTCTTGTTGAGATCTGTGGAACATGAGGAATTCAGAGTTGACACCCTCAATAGTAGTGGACAGTATTATAAATCTTGTAAATATCCAATATGTTTATGTGGCTTATTGTCCTGAAAAGTGCTATAATCAGGGGTGAAAATACCCTAAATGTCTCGCTCATGGTGACATAGGGGAGGGGCAGAGGAGGAACGCAGCAGGCTCTGCACTTTTTCCTCTTTTCCTAATCACAGGAAGCAGGAAAAGCAACAAGGACCTGATTGTGATCCTCTGAAATGGTGGCAAGGAGGGGCTTTGGGCTGGTGCAGTCCCAGAGCGGGGAGTGTCCTCAGCCAGCCCCTCTAACCAGCCTCTTTAACCTGCCTTGCTGCCTGCTTCTGAGTGTGGCAGTCTGCAGGAAGCTGGGGGTTGGGAGCTTTCTATCCTTCCCACTGCAGCTGAGTGCCCCAGCCCACTGGCCAACTTCTTGCCAGAGTGCCACACAAGAGCGCACTGGCTTACTTTCACCTCTGGCTATAATATGCTGTTGCTTGTCTTTAATCTATATATTAGGAAGAAATATATTTGCTATTCAAGATATCTGTATGGGATGTGACTGGGCTCACTGAGTAAACAAGATCTACTGGGTGGAAGATAGTGTCTTGGGCTTCGTCTAAACTACATCCCTCTGTTGGCAGAGGGATGTAAATTAGATGTATTGAAAGTGCAAATAAAGCCGGGATTTAAATATCCTGTGCTTCACTTGCATAAAGGAGGCTGCTGGTTTTTTTCAAAATGGGGCTTTTTGAAAAACAACGGCAGTTTAGACGGGGCATTTTCGACAGAATATCCCTTTTCGAAAGATCCTGTACAAAAAATGAGTACAGGATCTTTCTAAACAGGGCGTTTCTATCGAAAATGACCTGTCTAAACTGCCATTTTTTTAAAAGCCCCATTTCAAAAAAAGTGGCGGCCTCCATTATGCAAATGAAGTGTGGGATATTTAAATCCCGGCTTCATTTGCACTTTCGATACGTCTAATTTACATCCCTCTGCCGACAGAGGGGTATAGTTTAGGCACACCCTTGCAGAAAAAAATTCCTTTCCTCCCATTTTTATGTCTGGGTTAGGGGTGTGACTGAAATAATAAATGCCCAAAAAACAAAGCTAATTTTCCCTGGCTATTTGACTTGTTTAGATGTGCAGGAAGCTTAGCATGTTTCATCCAAGCAATTATTTTCATTTTACCCTCTTCTACTTAGATGAAAGATGATCATGTGGTTAAAACACTGGCCTGGAGATCTGAGTTAAATTCCATAGACATTCTGTGTGATTTCAGACAACTCGTCCCAATACAAGTTTAAATAGATAGGTAACATGAAGTTAATAGGATTACTTGTATGTGAACACCTTGTTTCACTGAGGCCTTAGTCTCTATGCTGTTTCCTATTTCTAAAGTAGGCATAAACATACCTGGATATTTTTCTGACTTACTTATTTATCTTGTAAGCTC